TAACTTTTAAAGAATTAATAAATTAAAAATACATTCACAGTTATTTTCTGTCAGTCAGTAGATGCTGAAGGAGGCGTAGCTCTGGTCACTCTGGCAGGTAAAATAAGCAATCAGCTGACCGTTGCAGATCATCAGAAACAAGCCGCTTCCTACGAATCAACAGACAAAGTGGAGAGTATTAAAGTCAGCCAAGCTCACAAAGTCAGATGCAATAGGTTTAAGATAGAGTCTATTTTATTTTACCTAAAGCCAGCCACCACTGCCACACCATGGGAAACTCCAGCATTACTGCAACATGGAAACAAAACATGCAGACTCACAACACATTTCGAAACTTGTTTGAGTAACCTGGGTGGATACGTGATTATATTTGTCCTCACCGAGGCTGGTGATCACAACATGCAGGAGTGTGACAGTGAGGGCGTAGTCCCACACTCGCCCCCTCACCACCGCAGCAAACAGAAGGCCGCTGCAAAAGTAGGTGAGCTCCAAGGACAGGAGGTTCACTGCGGGAGACCAATGCAGTAAGAATATACTACATCATCTGCTCGATCAACGACGAGTTCACACTCTTCATTGATCGTGTTGCCAGCATGAGCTGCACTCACCCAAGTATTTGGAGTTGGATTCAATGGGTTCCGTCTTAAAGTCGAATGGGATCAGTCCGTCAAAGTGATCCAGCCTAAATGAAGAGGAATCACTGTAATTGGTGCAGATCAGCAAAGTGATGGAGGTACAATAAGTGTTGATGATTCTCAGTTGTAGGATACAGGATGTGGACAAAGTAACGTAAAAACTCATGAAAGACGGCTTTACATTTGAGATAAACCTTCCATCATACACCAGAGCTGTTTTTATGTTGTTTGCATCAGGTCATGTTATTATGGCTCCATGACCAGATGAACCTGGAATGTGGCCCTCACACAATGACATTCATCTTGTTTGGATGTTCATATTCCAATTTGGAATCTGCAACTTTGCCGTTAGTTGGTGTGTTCGCTTTTTTGATAACATTATTGTACAAACACCGCGGCTTGCTGTAACTTCTTTGAAAGGAACAGATATATAGCTGTAAATGTATCTGACACTTCCTGGAAATGACTGTAATTAGATAATAAAGATAAGACAGATGGGTACACGGCTCAGTTGGTACACTTGTATCAATTCATTCCACTAGTGTGACCCAGATATTCATTC